GCTTCACATCTGCATATTTCTGTCCCCATCTTTAATTAACATATATCAGTGTGACGATGATTACTCTGACCTGTGACATCTAAAGATTGAACTGCAAGGGTCTGAATAGAGTTAAGACTGTTGGAAGGAGATGATGGTATTAATATGTCACTTCTACCACTGTATCTGTGTGGTCATGTTCAGCCTCATGTGTGAAAAGAGGATCTTTGAAGTGATCAACTCCTCTCGTCATCCATTCTTGGTGAACCTGTACGGCTGTTTCCAGACTGCAGACCACGTGTGCTTTGTGATGGCCTACTCGCCCGGAGGAGACCTCATGACACACATTCACAACAGCCTCTTCAATGAGAGTCAGGCTCGGTGAGCTCATGTTTTTTTCTGTAAAACCTGCCGTTACAATCCAGGATAGTGCTGTTATTTCTACCACTTCTCTGATTTTTAGGTTTTTCTCCTCGTGTGTGCTTCTGGGTCTAGAGTTTCTCCACAAAAACAAAATAGTTTACAGGTGAGTCCTTTCAAGGCAATTTATTACTATATCCTCGTAACTACGAGCTGCATGTCAGGAGCATGAGGCATCATGTTTTTCTGTTTGCATGTTTGTGTCATTTAGAGACCTGAAGCTGGACAATCTGTTGATGGACGCAGATGGCTTTGTAAGGATAGCAGATTTTGGCTTGTGCAAAGAAGGTAAATCGATTTTTTTTTTGTTGAAAAATCAAGCTGTGTGGTCTTTGTATCTTCACTGCAGAAAGACAAAGCTTTAGATTTTGTGTTTTGCCAGATTTCAGAACTGTATAGTGTTGGTGTCAAAGGCTATGAATGTACATGGATAGTTTGTAATTAATCACTCACACTTATATGCATGAAGAGTACCAACTAAGCAAGTATGTAATCAATCCCTGTTGTCACTCTGTGACACTTTACTGTGCATAGAAATGGGCCACGGGGATCGCACGTCAACCTTTTGTGGCACACCAGAGTTCCTGGCTCCAGAGGTGCTGACAGACAGCAATTACACCCGCAGTGTGGACTGGTGGGGGCTGGGGGTCCTCGTCTATGAGATGCTGGTGGGGGAGGTCAGTGTAAACCATAGACTGTATATAAAGATACACCGTGTCATAAAGTTGCAGGAAGGAAAAAGGTTTGGATTTATTGGGGCAATGTCCACCTTCACCTTCAGTGTCTGGTGTAGATCTTCCTACACATTTCCATTCATTCTTGATCACTGCATTACTTTAAAGTAATCTTTACTCATTCTTCCATACAGAAGAGCTTAAACACTGATGTTACCTCACATTTCCTCACATGAAATGCTTGGTTAGTTCAATTAGCTTTTCCTGTTAGACTTTGCTGCCAAAATGCTAAATTCAATGCTCTATTAATGTTGAAAAGTCATCCCAGCTCAGACAAACCAAAATT